CCCCTCTCTCTCTCTCTCTCTCTCTCTCTCTCCTCTAAAGGAGGAGCTTTTGGAACAGAAGGGTTTCTCTCATCTCTGATCCATCTGTGCAGATGTCCAGGTGTGTTTGTGATGGTTTAATAGTCTGCTGTTGTTCCAGTGTACGGCGTGACGCTGCTGGTGAATTTCTTGGGCTGTATGGCGTGGATGTTTGGAGGAGGAGGAGTGACTAACTTTGGCATGTCCATCATCTGGGTTATTCTCTTCACCCCCTGCTCTTACGTGTGCTGGTTCAGACCCATTTACAATGCCTTCAAGTGAGCATCGGTTTACCTGTTTATTATCCAATTAACAGAACAGGCAGAAAGTGCGTTGCTGGGCGCCACCACCACGCAAGGAACTGAGGTAAGTGCCGCCATCTCGGGAGGTTCTGCAGCCTGCGCCGCCAGCCTCTAAAGAGACTTCAGTGGACACCGTGGCCTCTGGGAGCACGGCAGTGAACACCGACTAGCTGAGATGTGACGTGACTCTGAATGAATAGCTGAGACGTGGCGACCCTAGAAGTTCAGCTGTGACGTGACTCTGGACGAACAGCTGAGACTTTACGAGGCTCTGGATGAACAGCTGTGATGCGACGTGAATCTGGATGACTAGCTGAGACGTGACGTGACTCTGGATGAATAGCTGAGACTTGATGAGGTTCTGGCGGATCAGCTGAGACTTGACTGTACTCATGACGATCAGTTGTGACTTGACTAGACTCATGAATATCAGTGGTGACTTGACTGAACTCAGGAAGAACAGCTGTGACTAGACTAGACTCATGAAGATCAGCTGTGACTAGACTTGACCCATGATAATGAATTGTAACTTGACTTGACTCAAGACGATCAACTGTGACTTGACTAGACTCATAACTATCAACTGTGACTTGACTAGACTCGTGATCATAAACTGTGACTTGATTTGACTCGTGATGATCAACTGTGATTAGACTCGACTCATAACTATCAGCTGTGACTTGACTAGACTCATGATCATAAACTGTGACTTGATTTGCCCCATGACGATCAACTGTGACTTGACTAGACTCATAACTATCAGCTGTGACTTGACTAGACTCATGATCATAAACTGTGACTTGATTTGCCCCATGACGATCAACTGTGACTTGACTAGACTCAT